GATCTTTTTTTTCATTACTTTGTGCTTAATAATTTTTTATTCCTGCCATCAGTATTTTTTTGCGATAACTATGCAAATTTTTACTCTCACTCGCATCATTATTATCTTTTTTATGCTTGTTCATATAACTCAAGGTAAAATACCTAAATATGCATAGCAATATAAATGGTTTTCTGTTCTAATTGTTTTTGGTTTACTTATCATCACATAGCATATTTTCTTTACCTTAAAAAGTCTTTATTATGGACAGTCTGTCATATATACGTAACTGATTGTGATGGTACAGTCATATATGATGACGGACGTAAAAGTTGTGACAGTGGTGATTTTGTGTGGCAAGATGCTCCTGAACACTATTGCTTACATGTATACCCTAGACAAACTCCAAAGGATAATAGATACATAGAGTTATATCAAGATTCTTGCTCTTATGTTGATGGTACTATAGGTAGTTGGGATATATTTAAACATAAATACGCTAATTGTACTGATGATCCCATTATTGGCATTGGCGTTCTGCCGGGACCTTCTCCTACAGGAAGTAAATCTCGTAAACGTCGTAATATTTTGTCTCGTAAACATCGTAAAATTTTGTAGGACTTATTTTAAAATTCATATATTTCCCTTTAATTTAATAAGTTTATCGCTCTTTTCGATTTAGTTGAATCGAGGTTCTGCTGTAACCAATAAAAATTTTCTTTTCCTTTTTTTTTTTATCTTTTTATTACTATTATTAGTAGTATAGCTTTTGCTATTACTATTTTATGAATAAATTTCTTTTTCAATTCCATTTGATAGCAGTAACCGATTTCTTTGTATTGTGTAAACATTTTATCAAGTATGCTAAAATGGAAAATTTTTTTTCTTGGTGATTTACTTCATGCAAGCACATTATGCTCTAAATATCACATTTATGTGATTACACAAGCTTATATATTACTGCGCCTTGAGCGTATATACTCAAATATATCGATCCGGAATTGACCCGTAATTTCTTGATTTTCTCCGATCTTGAAATGGCCCAGATCGATTTGTTATGCAGATTATGAGACCGAAATAACCAAAATAAAACTACTGATAATAATTGTCGTGGCTGATGCTGAAATTCAGACCTATTTTGTTATGAATTTTTAAAATTTTTTTTGAATGTTTTTACCACCTTTTTTTAAGGGTTGAGTTAGGATTTAGGAATAGAATTGATAATTAAAGAGTATATGTGGATTCTAGAAGGGCTTATATTTTCCAATCTAGGCACTAAATTTCAGCATCAGCCACGACAATAATTACGTAACATTTAATTTATTAATTACGATAATAATAATTACATATTTTACCAATGACGACAATAATATTTATTAATAATTACATTATTATTTGATATTTATATTTACATTGATTTTTACATTAACATTTACAAAAACAATTCTTTAATTGTCGCGTACTTTATTATTATTTTTTTTTTATTCATTATATTCGAATCGACTTTTACCGTTTTTATTATATATTTTTTTTCAACTCTTATGGATTCGCAAGAATATAACTTTATAACTCGTGATACCTTTAGCTGAATATTAGAGACACTTATTGACAAAAGAAAAACAAGAGAAGCTTGATGTTAAAAATTCTTATAATTTATGTTAAGATGTACAAAAAAATCCAAACCTTCAGTGTTCAAATATTGGGCGGTTAATATTTTAAAGTTTATCGTATTGATGCAACAGAGTAACTGCATCTGCTTAAACAATATAAGAATAACTTGAGGACATAAGTTTGTTATATCGAAAATTTTTACGAAGTAGATTGTGCTGCCAACTAAGCAACTGACATAGAAAAATGTACAATAATAATAACAACCTTCTTATTAGATATGGGTTAGATACTGTTATATTCTCTAGCAGTTAGTTGAGAATGAATGCAAATTGTGTATTACTCAACGTATTTCTTAGAGTTTCACCAATGCGCCCTATTGTTTCCAAAGGTTTCTAAATCACGTTCAAATATGTGTGTTATATTAATTTTAATAAATAAATTTATGTAGTTAAACACAATTTAAATAGCATTAGTTCGATACTATCAGCTCTTTTAAATGTTAAAAGTAACCGTGAATTTATTAAAAACAAATTTTGGTTCTCGACAATTGGTACTCAGCAAATGAACTTGAACCACTGGGTACTCTGATTATCCTGATCTCAATATTGTACCACTAAATAACATACTTTCGTTAAGAGGAGACAAAACCTTACACTCCCAACTTGTAACAATAGAAGATAGACTAAAAAATTAACTTATTATACAGTAGACTAATTTAATACAAATTAAATGAAATTATTAGTCAAAGCACTTCGGCTACACTGTAAATTACGGTATTATAATATTTTGATAAACGACTATTAACTATAAATAAAAAGAAATTTAATAAGAAATGAATAGACCATAAGCTATGTCAATGTGAATAAGAATAATTAAAGGAGAAGTAAATAATATAAGAATGATGCCAAGAAAGATCCGGACTTCTATCATATAAATTTTATATAGATTAAGTTTGGTTTTCCCTCAGTGTCATTAAATAAGTGCCAGCTTACCTTTGAATGTAATCAAATTAAGTGTAACCTTATCTTTGAATAATTCGATTGATCAACATAAAGAAATTGAATAAGAAATTATCTGCATTGATTAAAATTAATACGAATAATAAGATTCGTATACATAATAGCTCGTCACTACACTTATTGAAGAAATACTTATGTATTAATCAGGTCGTGTGCACTACGTCGTATTTACGAAATGTAATCCTTCTTTTATAATCAGTGATAGAGTTCTTTATTTTTCATATGTTAAAACCGGTTTCCAAACTCTAATCAGTGATAATAAATCCTATATAGAAATATCCCGTGAATATTTATGTCTGAAAATCATGCTTTTACTATCATTTGTTACAACATTTGAATATTAGAATTTTAAAACTTAGTTGTGAAATAGATCATGAGAAAAACAGTAAATATGGATTCATATGAATTCAGATGTGGATCAAATCGTGTGCAGAAGTTGTCTGTATACAGAAGAAAGTATTACATATGCCCTGTATTACTACGTGTGAAATTCCTGATATGCATTCACATCCCTACTTTTCCACATATACTATCAAATAAAATGTAGGATTTTGCGGACACACACCACTTAATTTGCGATATAACCATACACTTCGTTAAATTTTTAATATCACTCCAGCTTTTAGTGCGATGGCATTATTTACTTGAACCAATTTTAATTTTCAACACTAGCGATCTAAAAATACATAAGGAAAATTTTTTTAAACAAAGCTAATGGGTGTTATACTAAAGAATTAGAATTTGACTAGAATTTGACAAGAAATCTTTGGGATTGTGACTTTTTGTGTGATAATTTTTAAAAAAATGATGAATTTAAGATTTTCGTGTGATTGGCGATCACAGTAATTTGAAAAGCACGATAAACATTCACTATGTAGCAATCTTTTATTGATATTATATTTAAAGTTGTACACATAACGATAAGTTTAAAACTTTCAATGAATTTTTTTTTAATTACATAATTATTTTAATTTAATATAGAAAGTATACAAAATATATTATTAATTCTAAAATCTTGTTAAAGTCACTTCTAATTAAATTTAGTCTAATTAAAGTCAGTGGGGTTTAATACTAAAGTTATCATATTAAGCAAATTTAACGTTAAACATTCCGGCTAGTTAATTAATACTGTATCGATAGTATTCACAATATTCACAATCCAATATACGTAAATGAATTTGTCAAAAAAATGTGCCTAAAGTTGCCACCTACATACATACCTAATAAAATTTCTTTCGGCTCAACTCATATATTCCTCAGTTTTTCATTATCGTTATAAATCGGGTCGATAGAAATCCTTAAAATAAAATATTTGTACTGTAATAACGTAATCAGATATCCAATGTTTATTTCTAGAGTTTCCAAATTCGGCTGTAACTTATCGTCGTACGTATACGTCGTACGTACTAGCAAATTAAATTTGTATTATAAATACTAGAATCAAAAACAAGTATATTTTAACGTATTTAATTGCAAAATTTTTCGCAAAGGGTTATATAATTTAGCGCATGTGCGTTGTAACGCACCCACCTGATCGACCAATAAGATCGTAAGATCAGGTGTAACGTGAAGTCGAAAAAAATAGCGATGTTTTAAAAAAATCGCTTGTAACTAGGGTTTGGGACATAGGGCATGGTATGCCTTATGGTCAAAAGGCATGCCCATACTTAAGCCTAAGCCTAACCCTAGCCCTAACCTTAATTTATAGAAACTCTAGCTTACATACTATATATGTTAAACTTAATTTGTCTGCTTTTAAAACCAAATTTGCCAATTTTAATACCGTTATTAGATTATATGTTGAGTTTAAAGCGTGCCTTTTATGTAAATATATGTTATATATCATATAATCTTTTGTAAAATGTAAAATAGTCTTATACTAAAGGCATGAGGTTTTTGCAATTTATAGTGCTTTCAAGGAATCTACATATATGAGTTTATAAATATTTCTCCTTAGGTTGATCTTTAGTATAGATGGGCTAGAGTCTCTATGTTCAGTTTGAGTTTAGTTCGGTTTGGATCAAACCTGAACTTGAACTAAACTCAAACTGAACTCAAACTGAGCTCAAACAGTAAATTTTACTAACTTCAAACCTGAACCTGAACTCAAACTTGTAATTCCCGAGCCCGAACCAGACTCGAACACAGTAATAAATTTGGTTCGGGTTCAGTTTGAAGTTCATAAACAAGTTCGGGTTCGAATATGAAATATTAAAAAAAAGGTTTTGCAGTATAAAGTTTAGCAGATTCAATTTCTAATAACTTTTTAGGAATTGAGTCTAATAAACTATAACCTATACTATCATATAAATAGAGCTTTAACTTATATCCTTTTCTCTTATTTAGTTAATATACTATATTGCGTATTAAAAAGATAAGTATATTTTATAATTATAATAATGATAAACTTTATAACTTATACTATCTTATAAATAGAGTTTTAACTTACATCATATCAGTGGATTTTGAGAATTTACTATTTTTTTTTTTTTTTTTTTTTATTTTGAATTTGCTGTATACATAATAAGATTAGTTACAGATTTGTATCAAGATGATATTAAATTTAAACTATCTATTATATCTTGTATAACCACCTAAGTGTAGCAAAACACTTCTTAATTTTCTATTTATAAACTAATTTAAGACTAGCTGCCATTAGTTATAGAGGGGGAAAGAGGAAGCCCAGGAATTTACTATTAAAAATTACAATAATATTTAACTGTGAATAACTTTTGATCCACTGGTTCATTTTCTATGAAACAATTACCAAAATGGTTATCTCGATAAGATGAACATTTTGGTAATTATTTCATCGAAAACGGACTAGTGGATCAAAAGTTATTCACAGTTAAATATTATTGTAATTTTTAATAATAAATTTCAAAAATTCGCCGATATGTACTTTTCTCTTATTTAGTTAACAACTGTATTGTATATTAAAAAGATAAGTATATTTTATAATTATAATAATGATAAACTTTATAACCC